ATAAAAATAAAATAAAAAAATTCCCATTGCCGCATGAGTCAACTTTAGAACTGTTGATTCCATCATGTCAGATATGTTATGGAGCAAATGTTTCATGACTTTTAACTGCTGGACAGAGTATATAGATTATGGATCAAGAATTCTTAAATATGTGATTCATAACATGACTATAAAAATTAATAAAGCTGACAACTAAACACAGATTAAGCTAAATCATTTAACTATTGTAACATACTGTACATGTCTACTGAATTGATAAGTGCAGAACATTAAAAAATTCGTTTCTTAGAAAAAGATTGAGTACCAAGTTCTATAAGAAGTTGTACTCCAGGTAGCATAATTTGCTCGTATAGACCCCATGTCAGATTCAAAACACGCTGTCACCATGCAGCAATTCCAAATTAAATGCTTAGACAAATAAATTTCATTTTAAGTTTTTAACCTATAAAACACTAAAAAATAGATGACAGAAACACCGAGTAAGAAATTTTTGCATTCCCATAATTTAAACCACTCACAAAAGCTCATTATTTTCACTTTCCACAAACACAAACGTAGAATTTTATGACAAAGAATAATAATTTTAAACCACAGTAGATATGAAAATGATAGTGTGATCACATGCTCCTGTTCCTAGTTAGTGTTGCTTCATGCTTGAGTCATCAAAATCACTACGGAAAAGATGAAGAAAGAAGAAGGGAATATGGACCACGTGGTTAAAAGCACTTAGGTGGTGGCAATTTGGGACAGCTGTTAGTTGCAAAATTGTGGGCTTGGGCTCGAAATGGTTCCAAGAATCTGAACACAAAGAGCAAGTTCCGAGATAAAACGATAAGAGATGTACAAGTGTACGTATAACTTATAAGAGAATGTGAACAAGAAACACATTTTAAATTAGGATCCCAAATAAACGTTTATATTATATATTTTTCGGAATTCACTTGCTAAGCTTGCTAACAATCATTGTTATAGCTTCGTTTTGTTCTCACCTCTCTTGTTCCCTGCAGAGTTTTATTCAGTGACTTGATTTTGGTTTAAATTAATTTTGAAGCAACAGTGATTTATGTTTGAATTAAAAGCAAATTAAGGTAGTAAAACTCAACATAAAACTTTTGATCAAATACAAAAAATATCAGAAATCGCTTTAAGTCAATACTAATTCTAAATCCATAATCAAATTTTCAACCTAACCATGGGAAAATTTATTTGAAACTACATTAGCTTGTATTTTAAAATAATTCAACGTGCATGAAACCAAAAACGCACCAAATATACAATGCTGGTAGGCAAAAAGCAAAGGTCGGATAATTAGAAATGTTATACGAATTTCTGAATAATCCTTTGAGGCTCTTTCATCACAGATTGTTGGCTTTATACAAATTCTAATTCAAGATTATTATCAAAACTATTCCATTTTATTCGAAGGTACGTGGATTTCTCCCGAGATCATATAAGTCTAAGGTTTCATATTATTGGGAAAAGAAGTCTTCAACCAGCGGAAGCACACACACACAAATAGAGAAACAAAAACAAACTCAGAAATTAACGTAGTTCGGTACTTCTTGCCTACATCCACAAATACACTCTGCAAATTATTTTATTTCTCTCCATTTACAATTTTTACAAGGACAAAATTGCAAACCCTCTCATTCACAAGTTTTCTAGAAAAACTTGGAAACCTTCATACACAAGTTTTCTGGCAAAACTTGGAAACCCTCTCATGACACACAACTACCCAAGTCCCCAATACACCCATTGGAACCAATGTTGTTGTGGTAAGTAGACCCAAAACTATCACCCCTTATTTATAGTAGTAGTCTACCACTTCCCTTCTTCAAACTACATGATGTGGGACTTTGGAGGATACCCACTCACTTTGGGCACAACACAACTACCCGATGTGGGACTTTGGAGGATACCCACACACTTTGGGCACAACATATCCTCCCTTCATCCAAAGTCTCACATTAATCCATCATCATTCACAAGTTTTCTGGCGAAGCTTGGAAACCCTCCTTCACAAGTTTTTCTGGCAAACTTGAAAACCCCTTCTCACAAGTTTTTCTGGCGAAACTTGGAGACTCATCTCTTCACAAATTTTATGGCGAAACTTGAAAACCATCTCTTCACAAGTTTTTCTGGCGAAACTTGAAAATCCCTTCTCACAAGTTTTTCTGGCAAAACTTGGAAACCCCTTCTCACAAGTTTTTCTGGCGAAACTTGAAAACCATCCTTCTCACAAGTTTTTCTGGCGAAACTTGAAAACACTCCTCACAAGTTTTTCTGGCAAAACTTGGAAACCCCTTCTCACAAGTTTTTCTGGCGAAACTTGAAAACCACTCCTCATAAGTTTTTCTGGCGAAACTTGAAAACCATCATCCTCACAAGTTTTATGGCAAAACTTGGAAACCTTCCTTCTCACAAGTTTTATGGCGAAACTTGGAAACCCTCCTTCTCACAAGTTTTTCTGGCGAAACTTGGAAACCCTTCTCCATATGACCTCCTCGGTACACTGCTTCTCTTCCTCCCTGGTACACTGCTCCACCATCGAACCGGTCACCCGATGAAACCATCGGCTCTGATACCACTGTTGGGAAAAAAAGCCTTCAAACAACAGAAGCACACACACAAAAATAGAGAAACAAAAACAAACTCAGAAATTAACGTGGTTCGACACTTCTTGCCTACATCCACAAACACACTCTGCAAATTATTTTATTTCTCTCCACTTACAATTTTTACAAGGACAAAATTGCAAACCCTCTCATTCACAAGTTTTCTGGAAAAACTTGGAAACATTCATACACAAGTTTTCTGGCAAAACTTGGAAATCCTCTCATGACACACAACTACCCAAAGATTGAATACCACTGAATTGTTTTTAAGTGACATAAAATATTGATTGAATATCAATGAATTTTTTTACTAAAAAAAAGTTTTTTAAAATCCTAGGAAATCCTAAACCAATACACTCCCTTAATATTCTTAATTCAAAAATACTCTTATGATGATAAATGAGAGCATTATTAATCATGCACGTCATTGTGGTTAAGAATATTTTAGAAAATGTAATATATATTTTATAAAAAAATTATAAAAAAAATTAAATATATTTAATGAACATTCTTAATCTATGTGAAATTAGTTATTTTTGTTTATATATATATATATATTATATATATATATATATATGGATCTAGAGAGTATTAAAATTTAAAATAAATAAATATTTTGCAAGAAATTATTTAATTTTTTCATTTTTAATTTCTCCCAATCTAACATTTTTAGGAGGATTAGTACACATCAAATTTTCTCATGTATGACAATCATGATTTATGGGAATCATAATCTCAAAGAATCATGAAAATATGTTTGGTTTATTGTAAATATTTATAGAAATATTTATAAATGTTACTTGGGAATACTGCATTAAATAAGTAAATAAAGGTAATTTTATCTTAGAAAAGTTTGTTTTCTACGCCTCATGCAAATATTTTTGTGAGAATTGAGAAATGTGTAAAAATCATTCTTAAAATAATAATGTTATTTTTTAAATAATAAACCAAATATAAAAAACTAACATTTTTACGTCAGATTTTTAGAAAAGTAAAATCTTTTCAAATATCAAATGTCTTTTTAAAATTATTAATATATAAGTTACATTTTAAATTTATAATAATAATTTGAATGGTCTTACAAGATTATTTTTAAATATTAATTATTTAAAACAAATATGTTGAAGAAAGCATACATAAAATAGATTTACCTCGATGTTGAACGCACCTCAGTACATAAAAAATTAGTCCTTTATTTTTTTATTAATAAAAAAGTAAAAACAACTGAAGAAGAAGAAGATATTCTAGAAATGATATAGTCAAATAAGATCAAAATAGTTAAAATTTATTTATTTTAATCCAACACCCTTGTATTTTTTATTTTTTTTTAAGCTTATATTCAGGATCGCAAGAAGTATATTGAAATGAAACACGGTTAAAAAGAAATGAAAGTTATTTTCAATTAATTACTGTGTGAAATATATATTCAGAGGTATTAAAAAAAAACTGAAAAAAGTGAGAGGTTCACTTATTAAAATGTATATTCTAGTTGATTTTCTAGGGATAAAAAAAGATTACAATTTATTTAGTTATAAGATAGTAGTTAGGAGAAGAGAGAAGAAAAAAGTTGAGGAAGAATAAAATATGTGGACGATCTGCAACAAGATAAAACTAAATAAAAACTACGTAATCCTGAAACCAAATTTATTTCGATAATGGTACTAACTAGGTAAAACTCATTCCAAATTGAAGATTTCAAAATTTTGACCATATTTCAAGTATGGATTCCCTCCAGCTAAAAGATAATTTATTTTCCACATCATAATTTTGGTTCAGCATATAACTTACAGTTCAATGCCACAGATTTCGACGATAAAATATATAACGAGTCCCCTAATCTAGTTTAGTAATAAAAACTCATTAAAAGTTATATTCAACCAATGATAAAAAGAATATTAGAAAAGATTATTCAACTAAAATACACAACACAATGTACTATTAAGATTTAAGAATGCGGTAGTCTTATGAGTTGTGACCAACCCGTCCCCTACCCCGAAATAAATTGATATAGTGTAAGCAGCCTCTCCATAGATAAAATCTCAAGGGACATCTATCACATCAAACTAAACTTCAATCACTCGTGTGCGAAGGATCGAGAACACAAAAATTAAGGATGTGGAAAATATAACGAAATACACATATGGTCGAGTTTGTTTTAGAAAACACAGAAGGCCATATATAGTTACAAGAAGTACAAACTGAGTCATGTAGTTGGGTTAGGGGAACGTGCAAATTAATATAAGGATGTATCAAGAAATTCAATATCATACACAACCACGCAATGCCCACAAGCTACCACTTGTTCAACTTCACATAGCATAAATACCATTATACCAGCGTTAAGCAGATGTAACTTAAAAATATAAAATTATGGAGGAAAATCAGTTGCAACAATTAAAGTTTATCTTAAAAAAATAATATTAAGAAATCTGCAAGCACAAGCAAAGGCAAAACTAGGAAACTTAAAAAGTATTGTCACCAATCCCTAATATAAATATCTGAAGATGAAGCTTTTCACTAGTGTCTCAATGATACATGAACCAAAGTAAGCAACTTAATAAGAAAAATTTGAACAATATATGGGAAAGCTATGTCTGCCTAAGCGGTCTTTTTCAGCTTAGCAAGCTCTTGCCTTACAACTGCTGCCCTCTGCATAAATTAAGAAGCCAAATGTTACCATCAATAAAACAATGACACACATTGACAAAACCCATATACAACAAAATGACAACGAAAAGAATACCTTAATCTTGGCCAACATAAGCTTGAACCTATCAAAATCATTGAGGGAAGCCCTTCTCTTTTTGACAATGAGTTTTCTGCCCCATGAGCTCTTCTCCCACTTGTTCTTAACATCTGTTAATTCACAAACATTTTCAATTGTAACCTAATAAGAATAAGAACAAGAAAGGAATAAGCGATAGAAAAGAAAGGTACCAGCATCCTCCATGGCTTTAACAAGATCTTTCTTCTTAGGGACCCTCTTAATGTCAACCTTAATGTCGGTTAAGGAGAGCCTTTTGAAATTGATTTGGGACCTGACCATATCAGGGGCATCGACAAGAGCCTATGAAGAAAGGAAAAAGGCAATAGTGAGAAAGGGGGATGCATAAATGCGAGAAAAGGAGAGAGCTTGAAAAGTGGGTTACTCTGGTCTGGTCGATGACATCGACGATGACGACGAGCCTGCCATAGTCCTTGCCGTAGTTGATGAGAGCAACCCTCCCGATCTCAACGAACCTCTTGAAAGGCTGAACAAGGAACAGAGTTAGGTTAGGTTAGAATGTGAGAACGAAAGAGAAGAGAGAATGAAGAATCACCATTTTCGGCAGAGACGGTGGGAGATGGAACACTAACTAGTAACTAGGGTTTTCGGTGTTCATCTTCTGAATGTTTTATAAAACAACGTCGGACTCGGATCCACGTTAACATGGGCCTTTCGTGTTCCAGGCCCAATGTAATATCATCTTCTCTTTTTTATTTTTAGTATTTTAAGTATATAATTCTAAATACATATGTATTTTAGTAATTACCATTGATATATGATTGTTTTTTGAATTAATTAATCTTACTACTTATATATATATATATCAATTGTTTATTGATTATTTACAGATCATTACTTCATCTATAGTAGTTATTTTTAATAAAAAAATTGTAAAAAATAGTAGTTATTTTTAATAGAAAATTGTAAAAACACTTTAAACTTATATATAAACAGGTTTTATACAATTTCTTTTAAAATCACTACTTAAATTACATTTTCTGGTTAAAATGTCTTATCCGAACAAAACATTAGGATTATCCAAACAAAAACTTATTGACAAGCTTGCTTACAATTTGATAGAGAAGATGAGGCAAATAAAGCCTTGCTTAAAAAAATGAAAAAAAAAAGAAACAGATCTTCATTGGTTTGGTCCCTGAACCCCTACATACACTATTATTGTAAGATTACGAAATTCAGGAAGATTCCTCAATCAAACTTTTATACGTACCACTTTCGAATTCATCATCTCTGCACGTTCCGTTTCAAATCTGAACATGAACAAAAATTATTAGCTGAATATATAATACCATGTTTAATTATTTAATATTTTTCAACTGTGACACCCGTTTTTAAAACAACCAAAAACACGAAAAAACAACAGATCAAAATTATGTAATTATTTGTCAACTCTTTGTCATTCAACTAGAGTATTTTCAAGTGTTATTTTAAAAAAAAATTATTGATGAATAATAACGCTTTATAAATTATTATTTGTAAAAATTTTCTCATATTTTTTAATCTGTAAAATTAAATTCAGTATTAATTGAGTTTGCACTAATTTAAACACTCTATTCAACCAAAAAAATATATTTTTTCTTTTTAATTTACAGAAAATACTTTTATTTTTTCTTTATAAGAACTCAAGGAAAAATTATCAAAAGAATAATGATTTATTATAAAATTACTGACTTTTATACTGCAAGATGATTTATTATATTTTTGAAGACAAAGTATATTATGGATTAAGAGCGTAACTAGTAATTCCTTATTTAAATTCTGAGATATAAATTCGACGTCACCTTTGGAAAACAAAATTAAAAAAAATAGCTATAAATTTGTGTGATACGCCTGCAGTTTTTATTCTTAGTCTGAGATCACCGAGGTCTTCCTCGTTCAGTGTATGTCTATCTCAATCGTAATTGTTTCTTCCTTTCCATCCACAATCTTTGTTTTTCTTTTGTTTCCCTATAAAATTAATATCCAAAATTTCTGAGATTTAAAAAATTAAAAAAAAAAATTAGTTCATGGGATGCTTCTGAACACATTCACTTGCGATTCGAGATCTGACATTCTTATTTCTTCATGCTTTTGTTCAGTAAATTTTATATTCTTTGATCTGACCTCGGAACCTTCCATTTCTATCCATGATCCATATAATTTCAATGGGGTTTATTGCCTTCTATTTGCATTTGGTGATGACTGATGAGCAAAAGGGTGGAGTTTAATTATGTTATGATGATCACATACGAGTTAGATCATAGATGTACAATTGCACATAGCTGTAAGCATTTTTGAAAATAGGGGCTGCTCACCACAAGTTATTGTCTTCAACAAGTTTTTGATCCGCTGTTGGTGCAGTTTTCATTAAATTGGTTTCTTTTGCATCCCTTTACAAGTCTAAATTTCGCATATGCATGTCTGCTACTGATGCAAGTGCTGTATTTTTCTTCCCTTGATTTCACATTCTGAAATTTATCAGATGGATAAAAGAAAGGGAATATATTTATATGCTTTAATAGTATTGGCTTAAATGTTGATTTGTTCGGTGCTTTACTTATCTATTTATTGGGTTTTGGCTATGTTAAGTGTAGCAAAGCACGAAATGGAGGGGACTGTCTTTACTCCTGCACTGGAAGGAATTAAGCTTGTAAAATCGGACCAAGGAGAAATTCTGACTCAGCCTTTCTTGGATGCCTGCAAGCAAATACTGCCTGTTATAGGTACATGTTCTTGGTCCCTTAAATTGTTATTGTCGCGAGGCAAAGATATAGAAAGGCAAAGATGTTAATTGGACATTTTTTGGAGTGTTTTTTCCTTTTGTTTGCTGTGCTTTATTTTGACAGAGGAATGGTCCCTTGCTCCTTTTGAATGTTCGACAGTATGTTAAACAACGTGAAGAGAACAAAAACCATTATATTTGTTAGATATTAATGGATTTTTCTCTCTTTGAACAAGATAGGAAGAAGGATATAAGTGATTTTTTCCTTAGTGGGCTGGGTTCTGCTCCCTTAGTCTCTTGGCCTTCTGCTATCTTCATCTTACTTAAAAGTTATCCAAACTTGTATTGTTATATGACTTGTATCTAACGCGGGAGAAAAAAAAAAGTTGATCTTATATTACCTACCAATTTTTGGCATCCATATTACATCTAGCTTTTAGTATCACCGTATGCTTTTGACATGTTTCTTGGCTATTCAACTGTCTGTAATTCTGTATACTTAAAATTTATAACGAAAGATTTCATTAAGAGGAAAAGGAGTAAAAAGCAGTAAGTTCATGAACCCTTCAGGATCAAAAAACTATATACATATGTTAATTTGTAGAAGTAGTATGTTACAATCTATCTCTAAAACATAAAATGCATTTTGCAGTTAGATGTATGACAATATTAAGATTAATATTTGTACCATGATTAGATGGACTAATGCTTTTCTTATGGCAGATAAGTTTGGAGCTGCTATGTCCCTCGTTAAATCTGACATAGGTGGTAACATATCGGTATGTTTTCGTCATCTGTTTTTATCTTATTTGCTTATCATTTTGGTATATACCGGTCATCTTAGGCATGCTTGCAGCTTTATATAGCTTGGGTGGTTCATTTTTCTAATTCATGTGTAAATGGCTGATATAAACATGTTTATGCTTTACTTTTTATACAGCTTTTGGTATGTATTACATACATAAACAATTAATATTGGCTCAAAACATCAAATACTATATATTCTCACTCTATATTGTGTTGACCTTTTGAGGCAGAGATTGGAATCTAAATATAACTCCAATACAACCAGATTCAACTACTTGTACAGTTTGGTACAAGTAGAGGTTGAAACTAAAACGGCTAAGGCATCATCCAGTTGTACCAATGGACTTCTTTGGCTTACCAGGTAAAGAACACCAAGTAGCTACCATTTAACTTGTAATTCTTACTGGTATGACATTTTGGAGGACTATTTCTTTGACTTGTAATATTTCTGGCAGAGTCCGTTGTCCATGAGTAAACGTATAGCTAAAAGAAAAAAGATTAGGATGAAAAAGGTATTTAGATGTGCATGGAAATAATGATTTTAGCAACACATCTCATAACAGAAAAGAAAAAGTCATGTTAAAGCCACGTCCTTTCCAAATTTTGGACCAAAATGCAACATGAACCTGGCCATAATGAATAGAGATACTATTAAGAATGACAATGTGTGCATTTGTAATGACGTTTATTATCAAAAATCTGACATGATATTCTCCAGTAACTCTTGTTGTGGATCAACAAAATCTGATCCTGGCTTGTTCTTCTAAACGATCAAAAGCCAGAATTTGTTTCCTGTCTGTTTTGGTTGAATCACTTTTCAAGGTGTTATGGAATATGGAGAATTCACATTGTTTTTGTTATTTTTCAGCTCAATGATGGATCCTTTCACCACCTTCAATAATAAAGCCTTTTGTTTTTCTTTAATTTATTGAGCTTCTGTTATCTGAGTTTACCTTTCTAAAGGTATGAGGATGATAATGATAAGTACTGTAAACATAAGAAAGAAAGCACAAAATTTCTTTGTGGGACCTCTTTCCTTCAACACCTTACCACTTAATGCTTGCCTACCCTCTTAATGTTCTCATCATTAAATCTACCCTCCTCCAATAATAGAATGCCACTGTCATTGTCACCTAACGGTTTTCACATTACAGGCAAATTACATTGGAGAAGGTCACTCCTATCTAATTCCCTTCCCCTGCTCATTGTGGCTCTCATGGGCCTCTAATCCAATGACCTTCCCCTTAGCTCTTCTAATGTAAACCTTCGTAATAGGGGGACATTTATCAATGATTATAGTAGTTTTTAACTTTCATTTAGTGACCAGAGATCTCAAGAAATGGTTATTGGTTGCATTTAATTATCATAATTTATGATACATTTATTTCTCTGACCTGCAAAATTTTCAGAGCAATGGATTTTTTGTTGGCATTGTTCCAAAACTTAACTGATCATGCGGATTGGACGATGGCACAAGTCTGTACAGATTCCTATAACAAGACTCTAAAGAAGTGGCATGGCTGGCTTGCTAGTTCAAGCTTCACTGTAATGTTCTTTTGATGCTTTTTTCTTCTTCTTCCTTTTTATAATCTTGAAAGTTCTTCATTGAAACAGAACCCTTTTATTGAAGAATCTTGCTTCATCTATTCAAGTTATTATTTTGCTTATTTAAAATTCAGTAATTTAGAGATGTAGCATATCACGGTACAAGTTTATTGCCGGATGAAATGATCTGAACGATATTCTCAGCCAGAAAAAGCAATTAAATTCTGATAGTGATAATAATAAATAAACTAAAATCCATATCTTTTAGTTATGCACAAGTCTATGTGACTTAAACTAAAATGCAATTTAAACTTTGAAAGTAAGACAATCTTTATATATTTTTTTCTCCATCAAACACATGATTTTTTCTCTGAAAACCATACATCCTTTTACGATTAATATATGTCATTTTATAGCTTCTTTGCTTTATAATTTTAAATTTAATTTATTTTCAATAAATTAATATGTTGTCTTTATAATTTAATTTTTTCCCCTTTATACACACACATGTACATGTATAATAGATATCTAGATTGATACTGAAACAGAGAGATATTTGTCGGAACTAGTTACATTTCTCCTTTATAATTTCAATGTCTTTCTCTGTAATATTTTTATTTGTAATTTTTGAAAATTTAATTAAATTTATAAATACCCTTACAGTACATAAGAATACTTCTTAGTTCAACTTACACTGTAATGTCTTTGGTCCCTTTTTATGCTTTTATTTACCTTTTTTCTGGCAATTGATTTTTTCTACTGAATAACTCATCGTTTATTTTTATCTATCTTTATCTATCATATTAAATCACTTATCATACCTTCATTTCTCTCTCTGCCTTCTGTCTTTCTAAGATAATACTCATTATACATTTATTTTCTAATATCCATCTCATTTTCAACCCCATTTTTATCCTATTTCTCATTTTTCTATCACATCATCTATTACTTCTATTACTTTTTCTCACTGTCTTTTTCTTTTCTCTCTATCTCAACTTATTTACACTCCAAAATTGGGTGCACGACTTTCACTCTCATCTTTGTAGGTGTCTACTAGATGATGGGTAGTATATGGTATTCGACATTCTTTTGTGACGTAATAAATGCTCTACGTACAGGTAGCGATGAAGCTTGCTCCTGATAGGAAGAAATTCATGGAGGTGATACAAGGAAGTGGAACTGGTGATGTTAGGGCCGAGATGGAGAAATTTTGTGCTGACTTTTCTCCAATCCTTGAAGAGAATCACAAGTTCCTGGTAAGATGCCTTGGATTTATTTAGCTTTTCGATGATCATAACTAGCATGTATCTAACTGGCCTGAAATAGTACATTGAACTGCATGCATCATGTTCTGGATTAAGCCACATATATTCTGGTGTGTGTGTGTGTGTGTTATTAAATTAAAAACGAATGCAGTTCATTTAATCCCGTTATCTAAGAATTCAATTAATAACATCTAGCAGCTCCACGACAAAGATGATAGTTTTAAATGGATGTAGAAACTTAAAGACTTACTGTTCTTCTGGCACAGGCTCGTCTTGGCTTGGATGATATGAAGGCATCATGAAGACCTGGTCTCACTCTCATGTTGAGTCCTTAAAGTCCATTTTCTTTGTTGGCATCCAGTCCCATTCACATGATAAAAACTCAATTACTTTAATCATGTTCCGCAAATTTCTTGTTTTCTGCTTGGTGGTATAGAATCTTGATTTAAGCGTTGTTGAACTCTAGTTTAATTTCTTATTATAAAAACAGTCATTATTTTTAGGCTCAATCTTACTCTTAGTTTGTATTATGCATGGTTTTGCTTTCTTAATTTTTTTAGCTAATTCAATTTTTTCTCATTTTTTTACTCAAAATCTTCATAAATCAAATTGATTAATCCATTTTAAATTTTCTCTTACTCAACTAACTAATCAAAACATTGTGTTTCTTCCAAAATAAAAAATCTCAATCTTTTCCTGTTCAATCTCTAATCTCATCCAATAAAATCTTCCTATATTTATAAAAAAAATTCACTAAATTGCAAGCTAAAAACTTTTGAAATTATTTTACATCTCAAATTTATTGTAAATTCCTAAATATTTGAAAACACACACACACGGGAGTTTTAAGTATAAGACTGGTGACATGATAAGATTTGCTTGAATTTAAAAATAAACTAAATTAGCTTTGAAAAAAATACTAATAACTTGGAATTTAAAATCGCATATTTCAAAATAGAATTTTGTTCAGTAATGGAGAAGAAGATGGTAAGAAAGAAAAAGGTCAAAATGACTGGAATTTTATATTATGTGATTTGAGAGAAAAATAATATATAAAGAAAGGCCGAGTTTTCTTTTGTTTAGATGAATAAAAGGTAATGAGAGAAAAAAAAATGTTTTCTTTTAAAAGTTAAAATATATTCTTAAAATTTAAAAACACATGTTAGATAAGAAAACTTAAGAGACATGGGTTGGTAATATACTTGATTTCCATGTTTCCTTCTTATTTTAGAGAAAAACCTTTGAAGTTAGTTGTTGCCTAATATTCTTTCTTGACTTCTCTCCTCTCTTTTTTTCTTATACCTTTATGATACCAACTAAGGAGAAAAGCTTCAGAAATTTGTGTTTTCTCTCGCCCTTTTTCTTTTCTCCCAATTTTGTTATTCTAAACAAATACTAAAAGAATTGAAGTGCAATTCATGAGTGAGTTTTGAAAACTCCTGTTACCAATTCGATTCGCATAATAAAAAATAAATAAATAATTGCAATTCATGAGCAAAAATATATGACGGCTGTTTACAAAAGTAAGGTAAAGTAAATATACATTTAATTTTTGTTGAAACATATTATGCTTTGTCCCCAGAATTTTACTCTAAAATTTTAGCTCGCTAATTTACTCTTAGAAAGACAAGTATATATATATATATATATATATATAAAGAGAGAGAGAATTTTAAAGTATGTTGTAAATGTGAGTGTGTGACTAACATCCATATTAAAACTTATTGATTAAATAGTGAAAATCTCGTGCATAATTGAGTTCAGTTGTATAATTAAATTTAGACACATTTTAATTATGTTCAATAGTTTAAAATTAATCAATGCAACTTAAAAAAAAAAAAAAAAAACTCCAAATTATTCTCACAAGTTAGACTAAATTTGTGAACCTTTGACGTTATGTTGAAGTTGTAATTAGTGAATATATATGCGCCGCACCACAGGGAGCCATTTTATCTAAGTTTAGTAAAGGGGCCAAGTTGAATTTACAGTGAATTCTAAGGTGTGGTGGGTAAAAAAAAAAATTAAATCATCTGTGTGTGGTTAAAAAGAAAATCATTAAATATATTATTTATAATAAAATAAATAAATGGCTGAGATTGAATATTTTTTTCATGTATCATTATTGTCTATTTATTTTAATAAATATATCTAGCAATTATTTTTAACCCTATATATCTAACAATTATTCAGCTAAATTTACACAAATATATTTTTTGTTACTGTCCTTTTAATTTAGGTTCACAAATGGCATAGGATTGTGGTTTTGAAGGCGTTTTTGTCGCACATTGACTAGAATTAGGAGTAAAAGATTTGTCCGAAATAAGGTTATAGAGACGAAAATTACAATGAAAGCTTTATGGTTCCATAAAAAATACCTCTCGAGTTACTGGTTTTGATTTTGCCTGGCCACCAATAGGGGGCGGTAAATCAAATTCCAGCGCTTTCATTTCAACACTTTTCTGATTTTCCAACCTGAAGTCTCTCTCTTCTTTGGTTGGATTTGGATGCTTCTTCCAAACATCCAATCAAGAACTACTAAACTTCCATCACATTTTTTCCCATGTTTTTCTTCATTGCCAAGTCCCAACACTGAGAAAATAACATCATATATATGATTCATTCAACCATTGTCCTGGAGGTGGTCAGGTACATGCATTCCTATCTCTTTTTCTTTATCTGTCTTTTCATTTTCAATTCGAATTTTCTATATTGAATGTGCTCAAGATGGTGTATTTTATTTGTTTGTTCCTTTGAAATAACTAGGTAGTGCAAAACATTAACAATCACAATTTAAAAATAAATAGAAATGGGAGAACATCAACCCATGATCTATTAGTGCAACATTATTTTGAACACTAAGGATAATCTAATGATAGAAAATTGAAATAGTATATACAAGATCTTAAATTTAAATTCTGTTATTTTCATTATAATTCCTGCGAATAAAAAGTGTAATTTCATTCTAGTTTGGTTTTGAGGTGAAAATATGCAAGTATGTGAGCTTTTTAGTGCTTATGATGATTCTATCCATGACCTTGTATGAAAATAGAAAGGAGAGAGAGAACAAATATATTCCGTTTTTGGTTTCAGAATTTTGTAGCTGGTTCCATTGAAGATTAGAGACACTTAAGAGTTTTGAAGGTGCAAATACATAAGAGCTTCAACAATGACGTCAGGCGCGGTGAAAGGGCAGGTGAAAGGGCAGATGAAAGGCCTCCTGAAGGGGCTTAGATACATCTCCCAAATATTTGGTAACTACACACATTCTTCTAATTGCACGTTATGCATGCATGCATGCATGTCTAAAATTGTTATGAATTTGAAAATAAAGAATAAAGTTGCATTGTAGACGAGGAGGAGGAAAACAAGGAGATACAAATTGGGTTCCCAACAGACGTAAAGCATTTGGCACACATTGGATGCGAAAATGCCGTAGCAGCTACACCTAGCTGGGTGGGTAGTGCCTACCATTCTCTCCTTCAACTCATTCTCTTGTACCTTATCATTAATTAAATCTCATTCTGCAGATGACCGAGTTCAAAGAATCATCAGATCAACCTTCGTCTAAGCCAACACCTGAAGGTATACAAAGACACTTAACATAAAATCTGTTTAAATACAAATTTATAAACATTTTTTAGAGTTGCTCTACTGGAAAAACTCTAAGAAAAAATGTTTTTAACTTGTAAGAGACTATTGTATACTATATCTTGCTTATATTTGATATTATATGAGTGAAGTGTTGGTATGATGCAGAAAAAGATAGTAGCAAAAAAGTAAGAAAGCCAAAGGCTCGTTCTACAGAAGGGCAGTCTCCGGGGAGAGAGATATCGGCCTCCGGGGAGGGGACAAAGCCCAGCCGACGACCCCATTCGTCGGAGGTAACAAGAAGGGCCCCCCGCCACTCGTCGGAAGAAGAGAAGGCAGCAACAAAACAGCACCGCAGGAAGTCCAAAACGACGTCGGAGGAGAAGGAAGGTTCCTCCAGGAGGGCACCCAGAACTCGAAGAGCATCCAAGGGAGGTTCCTTAACTGAATTCCCCTTTTCAGATTCTGGAAGTGGAACTCAGTAGAGATCATCCGTCATAGTGGACCAGCAGCAGATTCAGTTTAGAGAGAGATTTCAGGGGCAACAAATTCATTATGCTTCCATTACAATTAATTATTAACCATACATATAACAAACCTTCCATCCATTTTGTCCGGCCCTTTTTTGCCTTTTCATTTTTGAAATAGTGTCACTGCCTATTTTGGATCCATGTGATTCTGGATTCCAATTGTTACTAAATATGTAACAAATTTTCTATTTCATTATAAAGTGCACTTATTGAGATGAATCTGATTTGTGCAAAATTACTTCTTTTTTCTTTTTGTACTGATCATTCCCAATGGAGCTGAGTATGATTGTTAACTATTGATTAAACAGGAAAAACACCACGTCAAGTAGTTGTATGCAAAATTAGTTGAAACAGCACAAAGAAGGGCTGACAGAATTATATTTATAGAACAAACTAGTACACAAACTACAAACAACAATCGGATGAAAACTGTATACAAAAAAGTACAAATTCTCAAAAGAAAACCACAAAAAGACATAGTAATAACGGGGTGTTAGATAACGAAGAAATAGTCACGTTTCCAGAAAGAAACTTGATAATTGTACAAACCATTAGAGCTAATTTCCCAAAACATTTTGTGGTTCGAAGTTCTCCTTATTGGAGATCTTAAAAACGGAGTCCTTGTCACTTGTCTTGGCAGGAGAAAACTCATCAGGCATCTTTTTTGTGGGTACTGGGGTTCCAATGTGCTGGGAGAGTTCTCTTTGGTTTCCACAAAGAGTGAATATATTTTGAATCCTCAGTAGTCTAGAAGACCCAAGATCCTTGTCATCCACTGAATTTGCCTTAAAACAATCATCTTTCATTGGACTTGTGTTAGACAGGTTTAATGTTGCCAAGGAGCCTGCACCACTAGCCTTGTCAACAACACTACATACCCTCTTTTCTTCTATGACTTCTTTCTCCACTTCCTCATCTTCCCCTTTGTCTTCATCTTCTTCTCCCTCTTCCTCATATACTGTACTAAGGCACACTCTTTGGCTAAAGTTTGGTGCAAAAACATGAGCATCTTCTTTTACAACATTTAAAGTATTCGGACAAGGTTGATTTGAAAAGTCTTGCTTAACATTGTAATCACTCCTGCACACAACCCCACCAACAATATTTACTTCGCGGCCAAGGGGTTCTTGATCATCCAAGTCCAAATCCATTGACTTCACCATTCCAGGATCATCCTCACTTTTGTAAACACGCAATAGCCTTCTCATAAACCCACTTGACTCCATCTCTTTCAAGTCATTTTCCTCACTACACCCTGCTTGCCTTGAAGAACATAGCTGCAACTCAATCTCTTCCAGTCTCCTTCTCAGAGTCTCAACTTCCTCCTGCTGCTGCAGTATCCTCTCTTCCATTCTTTTCCTCTCCAATTCAACAAATTCATTAGTCATTCTTTGGCACTCTTCCAACTTCTTTTCCAACTCTTGTCTCAGAAGCCGGGTTCGTTCATTTACCTTCAGGTTAATTTCCTCCTCACTTGCAGTTCCTTTGCCTTTCACAGTGTCCAGTTTAGCTCTTAACGCAGCAACTTCCTCTTCTTTTTTCATAAGTTTTTTGTGGGCTTCGTTTCGCTCTTTCTCTCTCTGCTTGTTCTCCATTTGTAGCTTCATGATAAATTCATCCATTGCAGCAATTCTTGATCCCAAAATGACAGCAGAAGAAGATTCGTCATCCTTGACTGGAGTATGAGGACCACGGACTATGCATTTTGCTTTTGCCCCATATTCAAGTGTAGAGATTGTCTTATGTATCTCCTTTGGATCAGGACTTGCACACAGTATCATTAGGATTTTTGACTTGTCATCTTCAAAGGAATCCTTAAAAATGGAAGATATAAAAATTACTGACATCAAATAAAACCTCAAATAACATATAAGATGAATTCAGCAATTTTCTCAATTAAAAAGACAGTATTATTTACCTGCAGAAGCATGGTAAGTTTGCTGTCCCTGAAAGGCACATGTGAATCACCATTTGCAATGGACTCCACCACTCTCTTCAGCGCTGTGTTTCCTTGATTGATTTTTGCAGTCTATTATTCATTGCCAGTATAATAGTCAGCAGAGAAATACATGGTCCAAGAAGGAGAATAAAAAATGGCAAAAATGTTACCTGCATCTTGGCCTCAAATCCAGTTTGACCAGCTTGTTCAATATTTTCTGACCCAGCCATGTCTACAAGCATTAGCCGCCCTCCCACAGTTGGGACATCAAGGATTACCTGATCAGAATAGAAGAAGTGTAATCAGTTACCAACCAACCAAGGGATCTTAATAAATGTAACAGAATCATCCTCCAAAGCAACCCATACCATGCAGTGACTTCTAGAACTTCTGTCATTACAAAGTGTGCTTTTAACAATCCTTCTCTTCTCCACTTTCTGAATTTCTTTTGAGATCTTCCCTGCTTCATTCCCAGATATATAGGTTGCATTCTTAGCCTTTTTCCCCATCACTTCAAGTTTCACCTAAAAGTGAAATAGGCAAAAGTAAGAAAGCAAACCCCATCTAAGTGTCAAGGACAGACAATTAATTAAAGAACCAAACTAAAATCTAATTATCCACATCACGTTTTTGTTTGTGTGTAAATAAGAGAAACTGCTCGCTTTTGTCATTATCGAGTTCCAATCCAAATCCCATTAAGTAATGCAATCAGCTTACTTATGCTTTTCCATAACAAGCTTTTCAGGGAAACAATATAAATTTTTTTACTAAGTTTTAGCAAGCATCTACTAACACATGTTTTTTCCAGTCAAGACTCATCTGTTCTGAGAAGAAAGCATACCAACAAGGGAGAATTATTTTCTGAAGTAAGAAATGTTTCAATGTTTCAAAGCCCTTCTTCAGAGAGAAGCATAAATGATATAACCACACAGCCAAGCAAAATTTAGCCAGCCAATTTCGTACAAGTTATGAAAATAAGTAACAAAATGTAAGTTTCATGAGCATACAACGAAAGCAAGCCAAATAAAAACCACAGTCACATACACATTCTGGAGCACAAAAACCAGCAAAATACACTGGAGAAGCAACATAGATTATATTACCTTTGAAGCACTACCCCCCTTAGGCCAGCCAAATCCAAACCCTCCTCCCCCACCTCCTCCATTGGTGGACAATAGATCATAGATCTCCTCGTTGTAAATCTCCAAAACAGTGACTTGAACAAAAGTTCCCACCCCAAGATGCTCACCACCATCTCCATCTGCATCCCCATCTCCAAGAATGTCCCTCAGAGACCTATACACAATCCCTGCCTGCTTTGTGCACCCAAACATAGTGTGACTCTTTCCAGAACCAGTTGGCCCATACATCATGATGGTGCACTTGTCCCCCAGCTTAACCCCATGGATCCTTGACTCCACAAATTTCTTATAGAACACATCCAAATCCTCCTCCTCCGATACAGAAACCCCATCAAGCGTGAAGTCCCGGTACCCAAAATCCGCGCGGACCCTAATGGAACTCGAGGTGGAACTGGTCTGAAGAACGGATAAAGGTTTGTCCTTTCGATCTGGGTAGTCACGGATCCTGGCAATGACTTCAATTGGGTGTTCAGGTGGGGGCTCCTTGTTTGCAACGGAATTGGGGTTGGGAGAAGGGTGTGTTTGCGGTGCTGATTTGAGGCCATTGAAATTGAGACGGTGCTTGGACTGTGGAGTCTTCAACTGAGTGGGGTGGTTTGGTTTCGAAGAAGGGGTGGGAGCCATGGTTGTGAGAAATTAAAACCCACAAAGGAGAAAGAATGTCGTGCAAGAAACAAAAGCTAGAAATGAAGATGATGATGGTAAAGAGAGAAACAAGTCAGGGTTTTGAAATTTCAAAGAAAATGTAGCCGTTACAATTTCCAACGTCTATATGTGTTCCATATTATTTTTCACTCGAGAAAATCAATTTAACCTAAATTAATTAATTTATTAAAGAACAATAAATGACTCACGAAATGAGTCCAAATAAAAATTATAAGGTTTAGCGCATGGACCTTCATAGAATAAATTTGAACAAAATCCTATCTTTGTTTTACTATTTCACGGGATACACTGTTGCCTTAAATTTGGATGATGAAAATCTCGTGTGAGTTTGTAAATATAAGTAAAACAATAAAAAAGAAATTATAAATAGTTTGTAAAAATCATTGTTAATATAAAAGCATAATTGTTTTTTTTTTAATCTTAAAAATTAAATTAATTAACAAAATATCATTTGAATTTTGATTTTTAAACATCTTGTTGTGGTTAAGTATCAATGTCTTTTTTATCTTTTATTGTGGAACACGCATCTTACGAATTTTTATATCAAACAAAATAAAATTTCATTTTTTTCCTTTTTAGTTTGTTTTTATTTTTTTTGGTAAAATTACTTTTTAGTTAGTTACCAATCAAGTAATAATTTTAGTATTATTAATAATTTTAAGTAACTATTAATCTTTTTTCAAAAACAAAGTATCTGAATCTTTTTAATCAACATTAAGTACAATAAGATGTTTAAAATATTTTTTTAACTAATTTAATTTGACTTAAATATATATTTTTAGAATAGCAAATAAGATTCTATCTTATTTTACTTCTTATAATTTATTTATTTCCAATTTTAGAATTTTGATATTTTTTAATGTTCTTTTTTATCTCATAAGATATAAGTTTTTTTATATCTAGGAAACATAAATTTTAAAAATTACAAATTTTGAAAATTAAAACTCTCAAGAATAATTAAAATTAATTTAATTACTTATTAATGTTCTTAAGAATATACATGGTTCTTAAAAATTAAAAATTTTCATGTTTAATTATGATAGTATATTTCTGGATATGTAAATACTTTTTACAAAAATATTTTTTATTAAAAAAAAACTTCGTTAGATATAATTACTCAAATCTTATTATAAATATGACATTACTTTTTTATGATTTAATTACTTTTCAAAGATAATAAAAAATTTAATTGCATATATAAAAAAATATTTTATATAATAATATTTACATTTGATAAAACTTAAACTATTTTAAAAGTTGAAAACTTATAGTTAAAACTATTTAAATATAGAATTTAACAAAATAAATAAATAAATAAAGAAAAATATTGTCTTACAATTAAGAAAAATAAAAATATTTTATATTATTTTATTAAAAATAACAAATAAATTAAAAAAAATATTAATAAATATTAGTAAATTATAAAAATAAAATAAATTTTAATAATATTATTAAAATTGACAAAATTAAGAATTAATAAGATACAAGAAAAAAAATAGAAATATGAGAGGGAGAGGAGAGGAGGAAAGAGAAATAGAAGGAAAGAGTCGTAGAGATAATTTAAAATAATGAAACTCAATTATTTATTTTTTATTTTAAAAAAGAGATATTATAGTCTTTTATATAATTAAAATTTTTTCTCCTAATAAAAAAAGTTAGATTCTTAATCTCTCATAAAAATGTTTTTGTGAGAAAGTAGGATAAAAATAATTCTTAGAAAATAATATTTCTTGAAATCTTTTTTTTTAATAAATATTACACATAAAAAACTAATATTTTTGACCTAAGATTTCTATAAAACTAAAAAAATTTCTCCAACTAAAAGCCCCATCACAATTAACTCTAATTAGCTTAGTGTTGACTTGGTTAACAAAATAAAAAATATTAATTAGGATAATCAAAATAACAAAAAACATTTTAAATTAAGGTAATTATATTATTTTTCAAGCTCGTAATTTAATTAAATAAGATCTTTAATCTTTACATAAATAAGTTAATTACTTGTAATTTGTTTTTACAATTTATTTTTAGTTTTTAAAATATTATGAATAATTATTTTTATTATTTTTGACATTATTTTTATTTTTTAATTCATTAATTTACTTTTAACATTATACTTTTTAAATATTATAATTTACTTAAATACTTTTAACGTACTTTCAATGTAATTTTTACATTTCAATTCATTGCTTTTTATTAATTATAACATAATCTAATTTTTAAGTATATTATAGACAATTTGTTTTTAAAGATAAAATAATATATTGAAAGTAAATTATATTTTTTTTTTAAAATAGTACAATGTTAAAAGTAATTTTTAAGTGATTTTCGCAACGTGTTTAAGCATAATGTCTAAACCCTAAACCCTAAACCCTAAACCCTAAACCCTAAACCCTAAGCATCATACGCTTACATATTGCAAGGATGATTTATTTAATTTGAAATCATGTTTAATCTATATTCTGCATGAAAGCTTATTAAATTAGCAATAATTATAATACTATAAATGAGATTAGTGTCTAGTAGACTTCAAGACACTTGTAGTAGGACAAAAAACAATTGTGTATAATTTTAAGATTTTATTTTATTTTAATGATTTTGGCATAGTGACTACTACTAGGCACCACATACTTATATATTGTAAAAATGATTTATTTAACTTAAAATTGTGTTTAATTTATGTTGTATGTGAAAACTTACCAAATTAACGATAATCACAATACTATAAACAAGTTTATTGTTTGATCTAATAGACTTGAAGACACTTATAGTAAGAAAAAAAATCTATATAATTTTAAAATTTTAATTTATTTTAACTTATTTAATGTATCTAATTCAAATTATGCAAATACGATCATATTATCAATTTTTTAACTTAAAGTCTTCAAATTATTATTTTTAATCTAAATATTTGCGAGTGAGATATAAGCTTATAGCAGTTTAGAAGTTAAAAATTTAGTAAGAAAATGATAAATTTTAAAGATTTTATAAGATATGATATTAGGACTTGAAATCGGGAAAACTTTGAGGGTTTTTTTTTAATCTTAACTAAAATATGATATTTTGGTTCGTGAGTTTTGAGTATGAAAAGGTTTTAAGTAATTTAACCAACTTAATTTATAAAGGATGTTGAATTAAAAATGAAATTTTAAAGGTTTTAAATAGAAGAGAATTCAAACGGACTATATTTACTAAATTTCAAGATTAAAATACAAAGAATAAAAATACAAGCGAACCTCTTTATTTTTATAATTAATCAAAGTTTCAATTTTTTCATAAATGAATAAGTAGTTTCCAATTTAATAACTTTTATAATATATATATATATATAT